TAATCCACGACAGAATTTAAAGAATTCCCCGTTGAATTCTACTTACAATTTTATGTGCCGTGTAATAGAGAAAATGTTTAAGAAATTAAAATACACGCGAAATTTATACCAGCGATATGTGTACTCCGATTTTTTCAAGCGTTTTATTACATGAAATTACATATAGATTTCAATCTCGAATTTCATCGTGAATTACGAAGCGTCTAACACGGGATTTATTTTCAGCTTTATAGTATTTCAGCTTTATTGACGTAGCTTATAGACGTACAGAGAGATTGAAGTTCAGCGATCCGTCAAAGTTTTGCCTTATGCCGTTTTATTTGCGCGTTAATCGAGCTTTTTTCGCGGCGAGAACAACTTTCTTTTCGCCGAGCGCTCGAGAAGTTCGATTCGTCGAACGTCGCGGGGGGACTAGATCGGCGCAGACTACGCGACGAAATTACATACGTGTGAGTCGCTGGTATTCAAAGGACGAGCCAGGTGGCCGCACTACTTTCACTACGTCTACAGGTCCGGCGCGCCGGGTGCGCTCGATCGAGCGACAACGCGAGTCGACGCGACGCGACGCGACTCAACGCGTTTCCACCACAGCCGACGTGAATCGCTTTGTAACACTTTCACGATGCAATTACACCAGCGGTGAGCACACTCGCCCGTTCCGAGCGAGTGTGTGCGAGTACGCGTACCCGTCGAACGGCCGAGTCAGCATACCGCGTGTACGCGTCGGCCGCCGATATAGACGCGCCAGTGCGCGTCTCTCTAATAATACCAGTAATCATAATTAATTGCTCCGATCCTCGCCGATGAGATTGCCTCTTGGGAGCGCGCAATGGCGTACAAGGATTCCTCGGAGCCTGGAGACTAATAATTTCTGGAGCGTAAACGAATGATAATGTCAAAGGCACCGCGCGCCTCTACGCTTCGCGCGATACGCGATTTTGAAACATCGACGAATCGTATCGGCGAGGAGAGAATTATTTTGCGAGGCTCTTTCGCGCGCCTAAGCAAATTGAGCTACGCGTTTAAAGCCTGTAAATGGAGCTAGGCAAAATCTATACCGCCAATAATCAATCTAATCACTTTTATTACCCTTATTTTCGACTATACTGTTAACTCTGTTTATTAAAGTGAAATGAGGAGGATAATATTTCGGATAAAGTTTCGCCCGCAACCTCGGGGTTGCCTGTGAAACTCTAAAAGCTGAAGCTTAGGTTTCATTAATTTCCACGCGGATTCGCCCCTGGAACGCGTACGTATGCGCGCGAAGTGCGATAAAGGGCAACGAGAGATACGGAGAGGGGGCGGCAACGCGATAACTCGGCGGGGGTCCCAGCGATCGTTTTCGTCTAACGGTTTCCGCCGACGATTATCGGGGCAAGATCTTGACGACCGTATAGCGCCGTGAGGGAGAGAGAAAGAGAGAGAGAGAGCGGTGACAAACATCAGGGATCCGTTCTCACGTTGCCAATGACTTCTCTCGTTCTCTCAATCTGCCGTCATGTGAAAGACGCGTCTGGAATGAGAAGAGAGGCACGGGAGGGGGATAAATTAGCGGCTTTTACACGTTATACGGCAAATGGAGGCTAATCATGGCGAGCAGAGAGAAAAGGGGGGAGCGCTGAAAATGGAATTATGCTCTAATGACGGAAGCGGGTCGATTCATTTATGAAATTGCGTAGGCTCGGAGTCACGCCGGCGTAAATACGAGGGAAAACGAAGGGATGCGAGTGAATCGCAAGCACGAGTGTCTATATTCTGTTCTGTACGCGTGATTAGCCCCTTCTAGCGCACCCTGGGGTTTAAAATCGCCCGGATATAATAGCTTTTGTACAATTGTACCACCACACATACACTTAGAACTTTAAAGATTAGCTCACTGAGCGCGTTCCGTTTTACTCCACATCTGATTAGAGCGTACAGTAGAGATTCCATTTATGCATATGCTTAAATTATAATTTTTATTTGAACGATAAAGAGTTTAAAATGTGTAAAGACTATATAAAGTAAATTATAAAATAATTTTTATTTAAATAAGGCGACAATTAAAGCGTTCCAGATTTGAATATACGTGTGATATATATGGTATATATATATATTATTGTTAGCACTCACGGAACGCGACGGCATTTAAATCTTATTTTATTAACCTCGTTTTCTTGCTGATTCGAATGTACTCGCTGATCGTGAGGGGCGGTTCAATCGTTACCAAATCGATTATATCGCGAAACGAGGCCGCCGCCGCCGTCGCCGCTACTTCAACGCGCCTGCGAATGTAGCGGAAACTGTTTTGAAACTGTCGTGTTTTATGAACGCGCGAGAGCGTGATATTACACGCGAGCCGCTAAATGTTGCGAGTATAATGGTTAATAGACGGGTTAATGGTTAATAAACTAGATTGTCGTTATTTTGCGCGCCATGCATACTTTCGCTCTGTTTAGCCCTTTAATGCTCGGATTACTCTGTGCGACTAACTTTTTGTGGACGTGTTACACAATTATACCTTTTCACGTCAGACATGTTTTCCTTCGTTAAACAAAAATTTCACGAACGTGGAAATAAAAATAATGTTTCATATTTTACATTTACATATTTTTCAAAATATTTTATAAAAAGATGTATGCACAAATCAAAATGCCAGTTATTCAAAAATCTAAATAATAGAAATATCTACAAGTCTCGTGAAAAATTACGTAACTTTAAAATAAATATATGACTTTTTTGTTTTTTTAAAATCACAATTCTAAGATTAATGGGGATTATCTCGCAGTTGCTGCAATTTTTAGAAAACGGCGCTTGTGTCGTACATTTTGAAAGATTATCCCGCGTACCTGGCGTGTGTAAGTTTCGAGTTAAAATACATTCGGCTCCTAGTTCGATCAACGCGTCTTCATTGTTAGAAAAGCGTTGTCATCACGGTTCCGTCATGTTGGGAAACGCTCCGTAAACTTGAGATATATATTATACATATAAATTCTGTGTATAGGATCTGCGTTACCTGCCTAGGCCAACAACAGGTAGAAAAACGGAGGGTTGTGACCCTCTCCCATTCAGATAGTCTACCGAAAGATTACCACACTTCTCTCCTATCTAAACATCTACTGTCAACCGTGCGATAACGATCGGTTCGCTCGTCGGCATATACGCGATCGCGTCACGAAAATTCATTTCCCGCCAATCGATCTCTCGGACTTTTACGACACCCATTTCCTACACCCATTATGTTGGATATATTGGATTTTAAATACTCAACAATTTTTTATTGATACAGATCATCTTTATTCAAATATTAAGCTCACTAAGATCGATATTAAGATCATCTTCATTCAAATATTCAGTTTATTTGTCTTCATTTCACTTGTGATACAATTTATTTTGGAATGTGGAAATAATAATAATACTACATGGTACGAATTCGAAATAAATTAATTTATCGGAATACAAATAAAAAAAAAATTGCAGAGAAAATGTCGACGACAGAAACGGCAGTCGTAAGACAGAATTGTCGATAACATTCGTTCGATCGGAAATCCCGTGGAAGGTGTAAAAAGGAGATTTACAGCCCGGTATAAAAAATTGGAAGGATGAACAGTAACCCTAAACCATTCCCTAGAGTGTCCTCCTCCCACACGGAATCGTTTTGACATTTGACGGATTACGTAACGGAACAAGGAAGAAAATCCTCTCGCTGGCCCTGTGAAAGAGAAAGAGTGAGAGAGCGCGCGAGAGAAAGAGAAGTAGAGAAAGAGAGAGAAAGAGGAAACGATACGATCCGTCGCGGCGAGTGTTTGCCCGCGTAAAATATTTGCGCGTAGAGTCGAGCTCAAACACGTCGGCCTGTCATTTTCCGTGTGGTGCACGTCGCGCGTATTTGTACGCCGCGCTATGCCGAAGGCGCGTTCCTCGGCACGTTTCGGCGCGTGCGAAAGCGCGACGCGTAAGCTTTTACGCTCGCCTGTGCACACACGCGTATTACTTATGTATACGCACGTATCGCGTGTCACCGCGCGCGACCTTCGCCACCCCGAAATTTCTTTGCACAACCATTGACGTTAACCACTCCCGTCGTTGCGTCGGGTGTTTTTTGCGGAAAGCCGATGTGGCAGCGGGGAAAATGTCAGGTTTCCTTTCAATATCCATTTTATATTTTTAGACATACAAAGACGAAAATACAGTGCATTCTTCTTTCTACTGCATTTGTATTTGTATTCCAAAGATAATGGATAGCTTTTTGTTTTGAAGCACACTCAGATTACTCAGAAAAGACTGATTAGACAAGACTTTCGTGAAACCAGATTACAATGTCACAATACTGCTGATTAAAAATTTATTTTGAAATACTAATTGAGAGAATTCATATCGAATTAGAATGACTAGTGCAGTAGATTGAGAAGTCTCGAGAAGAATTAAGGAAGGTCGAAGAAGTTCATTAAATGCATTCACTCGTTCACTTGAACGAAGTGCTCTTCAACTGTTTTACGACTTTTTCAATTTTATTCTATAAACGTGTAACGAAGTGCGCGAGAAAACGCGAGAAAAGGCGCTAGAACGGAATCTACGGCCGAACGAACGAGAGAGGCGAATTAATGCCTTTCACCGTGATACCGATCGTTAGTGTACCTCGCCGTTACACGAGTCGCCGTGGAATATCGCAGGTCTGTCTCGCGGTGCATCCGAGAGCAACATTCTCGCATAACAGGTCGCGCATAAAATGTGCTTCCACGAAATCGCCGCGCCGTAATATCCACGGGCCGGGCTTCGAGGCGGAATCATAGATCAACCGTTCCTTATCGCGATACCGATTTCCAATATCTCGCCGTGACGGCTGTTACCTGCGATTATTATCGCAAGGATGTCTCGCAATTTCTTTCGCGGCACGCACGCGATCGCGTGCGAAACGAGTCGCACGGAAAAAAAAAAAAAACTCGGCGAAATTCGTGAGGAATTTACCCTCCACAGTATCGTCAACGGAATAATTAGGAATGTGTGCAACTTGGACTCACCTAGAACTCGCACCCGATGCCTCGGTACTTCGCACATATACGCACATACACACAAACACGGTACTTGGCGCACACGGTACTCCGAGAACGGCGATGAAGAAAGGAGCACGACGGACAACGCCGACGGCCGACGGTCGGAACGGCCGAAACGGCAGAACGACGGACGGGGTATACCGCACACTACGTAGACGTCGTCGTCGTCGGTTCACCTCAGAGGTGCCGTGGCGTATGATGCCGGCGCGATTTCGTCGAACAGTTCGTCACGGTCGATAGAGGTGCAGGGACGAAAGCAAGCGCCATTTTATCCCGTGCACTCGCGGCAACGCGAAAGGTGGACGGACGGCGGTGCACCGCGCGCGCGACGCGACGGGACGGGGACGGGAACGGGGAGAGAGAGAGAGAGAGTGTACGCGCTCCTCTCTCGCCCTTCGCTCTTACTCTCGTCCTCTCGCTCTCGCACCCGCTCCGCACCGACGCGGAGTCGCGGATCGCCTAGCGCGTACACGGCCGAGCGAGGAATTCGCGGAGGTAGGCTGGCGCGCGCCTCGGGGACGACGCGATCGGGAATATCCGCGGACGTTCTGTGCTCACTTAGGATTATCACCACTTCCACCACTGTCGCGGCAGGCTTCTTCACTGCGCCGGTGAGACGTGTACACCTTTCGCGAAGCGACTCACGTTCCTGCTTCGGACGAACGAAAGAAAGGGTAAAAAAGAAAAAGAAACTGTGATCCCGAAGTATTGTTCCGACGGATGTTATTCTTTATTGAGTTTTTTCTTTCTCGCTCCACGCCAGGGTCCATTCGACACTTTTCTTTCTGTCTTTCGATTCCTACTTTCTTTTGTTGTTTTTTTTTCTTCCTCCTCAGTTTGTATTTCGCGATGCGCGAACGAGAGAGAGAAGAGCGACGCCGTCCGACGGCCGACCAACCGTCGTGCGCTACGAGAGAACACGAACTGAAGCGCCGAGCGACGGTGTCGAGCGGTGGAGGTTGCCCGGCTGGTTTCCACCACGTACCGCTATTCGGCCGTCTTACACTAGCGCCGCCACCCGAGCTGCACCCTCGCCGTGCTGCCAGCCATGTTCTCTTCTCCTCTCTCTGCGTCCTCCGCGTTCTCTCGCACTTTCCTCCCCTCCGCGTATCCGACCGTCCTGTTTGCAATATGTGTGTGCATGTGTGTGTGTGTGTGTGTGTTGTGTGTGTATATGCGTCGTTGCGCGCGACGCCGTCTCGATGGAGCGTCGAGCAACGACGCGATCTGCCGAGAATCGACGCGCGTAGCGTCCGGCGTTCGCGTTTTATCCGACAACGGCGACGACAACGACGATGACGACGACGAGCATATTTCGCGAGATCACGGTAAGCGCGACGGCGGGGTCATTGATTTTTTGAGCCCATCAAGTGTAACCCGCGCACATGCGCACTATAATGCAGGCGGCATCGTGACATCGCCGGTCGTTCTCTCGCACTCATCCGGAATGTCCCAGGCCGCACGAATATATCCGCGCCGCCGACTTTCGCCGACGGCACCGCGCTCTCGTACTTGTCGCACGAAATCCGCTCGAGTTTCCGCTGCCGCGACACCCCCGCGCCGAGATCGCACCGAGTGCTATCGAGACGCGGAGACCTTTGCCCCTCGATAATGAATTAATTCCAGAATTAATGCTGTTTCTCTGTGTTAATAATTTAAGTCTTAACAATTACACGCGTCATAGAGCTTTATTGTTTTAGTAATTATTACGTGTTCAGTAGCTGCATAATTATTAAAACATTAATAATGGCTAGATAGTTTGGCTCACAAAATGGATATGAAATTAGTACAGTTTTTGCTCAACACTGTAACACATTATTGTATATTTCATATTTTCGTAATCAATTTGATTAAAATTGCAATAATTGAATCGTGATGATCGGATTCGCAAGAGTGAAGGATGTTTACGACGTGCCGTATTTGAGTCTGATTTTCAATTTTTCCGGAGTCCGGAAAATTAAACAGCGGTATAATCGTGCTTTATATTTGAATCAAGCGGCGAAAAGAGCGCAGTGTTCGTTTTTTTTGTTTTGCGCTTCGCAGGATATAACGCGACGATATTATCGCGCCAGTTTATCCGAACGATCTTGTCGACAGCATTATCACTTTTATCGTAAATTTCGGCTAACTCTATCATGCAGAGGTGCACAAAAAACGCGGTACTTCTTATCGCTTTTTAAACAGATGGATTAGGATGCCCGCCCGTGTGAAAACGATTCCGCTCGACTTGCCGCATAATGGGAAGACACAAAATTTTAATCATCGAGGTTGTTCCCATCTCG